AGCTTTCTCGCCGCTCTCTTGCTGCAAGTGTGGTAACGTCCATAGACATGTAAGTATTGTGTTTTAATTGGTAAACATATCACAGGACTATAAGACTTTGCTGGGAAGCTGTCTGAAATATTGTCCCTCTCTACTTAAACAGGAGCTTTTCTGTATATGTAGTACTCAGAATAATGCATTGACTACACAACATGTAAAAATCCAGCATCAAAATATTCAGAGATTGCTTCATCCATGTCTACTCACACTTTTTATTTAAGGATTACTAAACACCCAGTGTAAATGTTCAGATGTTACCAAAAAAATTCTAGCCAGTGTTAAGTAAACAGCGTTCACTGCAGACTATGAAGGACTATTTACTCTGTCACAGAAGTTAAGTGTCTAGTTAATATTTTATTTAAACCACTCCATTCTAAAAGCAGCAACCTATCACCTTGTATTAAAAAAAAACAATGCAGGAGAGCTTATTTGTTTTCCTGTTTCTAAGGCAAGATTATTTTTGCAGTGTTAGGTTGTCAACTTTAGACCCAAGCTCAGCTTGAAATGCATTACACATTAGAAACTGTGTTCAAAAGAACAAGAAACAAGTTGTTCACAAAAATTGTAACCAGTGTTTTTATTTTTTTAAATGTATTTAAATCATTAGGGATGTTCACCATTTAATATTTAAAAAGAAATCTGGGCTACATCCAACACTGCTTTTGTTTTTCAAGAAGCAGCTTCTGTAAGCAATAGGGAAAGGCTGGTTTCTTTCTTATGTGCTTTTAAGTTGACTCTGACTTAGGGTTGTCTTGGAAAAATTTCCTCAGAGGGAATTTGCCACGACCTTCCTCTTGGGTACAGAAAGTGTATAACATGCCCAAGATCAGTCAGTAGGTTTCCATTGCTGAACAAGGTCTTGGACTCTGGTATCTGGAGCTGGCGTGATGTAGTGATGTAGTGGTTTGAGGGTTGGACTATGACTCTGAAGATCAGCTAAAAAGGCCAATGCAATTTTGGGCTGCATCAATAGACATATAGCACCTAGATCAAGGGAAGTAATAGTGCCACTGTATTCAGCTTTGGTCAGGCCCCACCTGGAATACTGTGTCCAGTTCTGGGCACAATTCAAAAAGGATGTTGAAAAACTGGAGTGTGTCCAGAGGAGGGCAACTAAAATGGTGATGGATCTGGAAACCATGTCCTATGAGGAATGGCTTAGGGAACTGGGTATGTTTAGCCTGGAGAAGAGACAGTTAAGACATAGCCCTGTTTAAATATTTGAAGGGATGTCATATTGAGGAGGGAGCAAGCTTGTTTTCTGCTGCTCCAGAGAACAGGACCTAGAATAATGGCTGCAAGGAAAAAAGATTCCACCACAACATTAGGAGGAACTTCTTGACAGTGAGAGCTGTTCGACAGTGGAACACACTCTCTCGGAGAGTAGTGGAGTCTCCTTCCTTGGAGGTCTTTAAGTAGAGGCTGGATGGCCATCTGTCGGGGATGCTTTGATTTTGAGTTCCTGCATGGTAGGGTTGGACTTGATGGCCCTTGTGGCCTCTTCCAATTCTATGATTCTATGATCAGGGTTTGATTCCTAGCTTGGCCAAGAAACCCACTGGGTAACCTCAGTCTCCCCCTCTCAGCCTCAGGAGCAAATCACACACTCTCAGCCTCAAGGGAAGGCAATGGCAAACCTCCTCTGAACACCTCTTGCCAAGAAAACCCCATTATAGGGTTGCCTTAGGGTCATCATAAGTTGGAAACACACACACACACAAGATCTGGGAGTCCTACTTTAACTCTCAAACCACTGCATCACCCTAAAAGCCTAAAAGTGGAAGAGTAGACAAACACTTGGACCATGTTTACAGTGCCACAGGCAGTGGCAGTGGGAAGCAGGGGAGGAAGTCCTTATGGTATTATGAGCATCAAGTTGGATTTTAGCCTCTGGTGGTTTAAACTTCAGTCTGGATAACTTTGTGAATTCATGACAGCTTAGGTTATATTGCTGGTCCATCTAGTCTAGTATATAGTCCTTTTTTTCCAGGGTTCCAACTAGAGCCATTTTCTATTACCTGCTAACTAATTATTTGTTTTTAAGCCAGAGATACTATTTGGAGGGAGAGCCAGGGTGGTGTAGTGGTTTGATCATGGACTAGACCTCTGGAGACCAGGGTTCAAATCTCTGCTCAGCCACGAAAGCCCACTGGTTGATCTTAGGCAAGTCACACTTTGTCAAATCTTGCCTTTAAAATGCTGGGACAGGTGCACCTTAGCATTACTGTAAGTCAACGAATCTTTAAGTCAGAAATGAATTCAAAGCACACAACAAACCATTCTGAGGGGGATGGAAAACCTTCAATAAACTCTTATTTTTAATTGTACTAACATACTTGAAACAAAGAAACTACTTATTAAAAACAAAACAACTACCCTAATCAACTCTCATTAAAGCTTACTCCAATTGGCATGTTAACTGGGGCAATTGTATCATTTGCAGCTCAAGTCACTGCCACTCCTAGGCTGTTTAAACTTTTTTAAAACTTGCAAATGAGTCATGTTGTTCCCTTCAAACCAGAGACAGAGAACTGGCATCTCATGAAATAGTAAAAATGTCCCCCACCATCAAAAACAGAAATTGATGAAGCCCATTTCTCCATTTCCTGGCGTCTTCCAGGAAAACATTTTTTTTATTTATTATTATTATTATTATTATTATTATTATTATTATTATTATTATTATTATTATTATTTGGCCAAAGAGTTGCTTAGCGATTCTGGAAAAGTCAAGTGCTACAAATGCAGCCCTGGGCTCTACACACAGCTCCAGAGCTGCATTTTCTCTATGGGGGGTTGCAGACTGCCAGAAATAGTGCAAATTGAGTCCACTTTTAGGGTTAGGGTTAGGGAATCATGGGGACTGTAGTTTATTGTGGCACCAGAGTTCTCTGACAGAGAAGGCTCAATGTCCCAGAAAGAAAACAATTCCCATGATTCCCTAGCACTAACCCTAACCCTAAAAGTGGACTCAATTTGCACTATTTCTGGCAGTCTGCAACCCCCCAAAGTCTCCTTACTTCAATGAACAAGGGGAGTAAAATGAGGGCATTGCCCCCCCATAAGAATTCTGCCCATCTAATGAATTTACTTAATAGAGTTTAGCATGAAGTAATTTAAATATTTCACTCTGCAATGCTAGAAATTTTGGGAGTAAAAGAACATTACAGGGACAGGTGACATCTTATGGGGGATGGGAGGTCAATCACATCATTTTGCAACCTCCCTTCCCTATTTAAAACCCGATTCAATTGTGGATTGTTTTATTTCAAAGGTTTTGCATGTTTTGCCTGTAGATTTTTAGGATGGTATTTTAGGCTGCACAACTTGGCTGGTGGTAGTGGACTTCCCCTGTTCTGTCTATGGCAACTTCTCCAGTGCATCCAGACTCTGTAAAGCAGTGGTTCTCAACCTTTCTAATGCCGTGACCCCACAATACAG